CTTTATAAAATATTTTTACGGACTTGGGTTTCTAAAGTCATTGCTTTTTAGATGTTATATTCACATTCCAATTCATACCATTATAATATCCAGATTTCATAGTTTTGAATTTAGCAAAAAAAAAAAAATCGTTTCAACTACACAACGTAAATACATATTTTTTATTTACCGAAACTTTCTTTACATTTCTTTACTGCATTAGAAAACAATTCACTGTTTAGCAATTAGCACGCTAGCGTTAACCCCACTATATACAAGCGTTGCCCTGACAACGGCTGTTTCGCGGTGCATGATGGGTTGAAATAAAATGCTACCAGAAACACCACAAGGATACGCAACAGTCGACCAATGAGAGCGCTTTGTGAGTTAACGGCACCCAATTAGAGGAAGTCAAGGCAGCCGTATCCTACCGCCACACACCCACATCACTTTTGTGTCAACCACTTCGCGGGAGTTGTCGCTCCAGGAGCAGTTATCCCATTTAAACTACTCATCGCTTGATACGCTTCCGTTGAAGGTAGGGTGACGATTTGTGCATTCACCGAGCTGTATTTGAGTTGTTCACTTTATTATGTGTGCAATATATTTTTACTGGTAAACGCGTTTTTTAAATTGTTTTTTTCCATTGTATTGAATTACTGTTGGTTGTCTTGGTTTCAGCTAATCAGCAGCATCTTTGCATGGGGCGCACGGGGTTAGTTATTGAGAGAGAGAAAAAAACATCTTCCCATAATACCTTTACTTACTATAATTTAAAAAAAAAACATTTTATGTTTTCTGCACATTTACTGGGGAGAGTTTTCTCAGTGGCTAATGCATTTTTAAGGAGTTGCCGGAGTTATAGTTTTAGCATGATCCTCTAATCAGAGGTGTAAAAATGTAGACGGTAAATTTAAATGTCTTGAGTATCCATAGAAACTACGTAGAGCGCACGTTCATCTCGCAGCCTTTTGATGGAAGTTATGTAACACTTGTAGAAATGGCTCGATCAAACATTATGTAGCCGTTATTATGTAATAATGTCGTCGCTGAAGAGACATTTTCTTTTTTCTCTCTATGATCTTGACGTGTCCACTGCTTTATTTCCCCCGATGCCGTTGTTGATCAGTGTTGGTACCCTTAGGTATCCTCTACAGTCACATTATGTATGAGTGTGTGTCAATGCCCTCATGAGGATGATAAATTATCCGCTGTGTTTTGGTTACCCAGAGCAACGCCATGTCTGACAGAAAGCCAGTGATCAAGAATGCCGACATGTCAGAGGACATGCAGCAGGACGCCGTTGAGTGTGCCACACAGGCCCTTGAGAAGTACAACATTGAAAAAGACATCGCTGCATACATTAAAAAGGTATATATAAATAAAGGATCTCTCCATCATGAAGCATCCAACATCTAAACAGACGAATCCACACAAAACCGTCTTTAACTAAATATAGCTATCTATTTGAGTAGGTTTTTGAAGATTTTGTCATGTTGTTGGCATTGTGACCAGGGCTGGATTTAGGATTTAGGAGGATGTAGGCCCTATGGGTTGGAGCCAGTTTTAGTGCCCAACCCATTTAAGGTATTTTTCAAAAGCATCCAGTCACAGTTGGATTGCTAAATAGATACACAAAATCCTCAAAGTTTCTAGGCCTAGGTGAAAATACAGTTTTTCCAAAACAATCTTTTATTCATACTGTTTTTTTTTTTGTTTTGTTTTTTTTAAAAGAGGGCATCATTTGAGCAAATCTCTCAATTACCCCAAAAATCAACCAAAATGTTAGTGACTATGCCAACCATGTCTGTCTAGACCTTACTGTTACATTTAAAGTACTTGGGGTTGAAGGTTTGTTCTCAAATAGTTGTGTATTGCATACCTACATTAAAATCACCAAAATTCATACAAGAAAGTATACCATGTTGGGAAAACATTAGATTTTTTTTTCTGAGTCAGGTTACTTATGCAGTTAGCCCATAATGTGCTATTCCAGCCTAGCATAACTGAAATGACTGCAAAGCTAATGACTAATGCAAACCATCTGGTGTGTCATTGTTGCACATCCAGTTTAGTATATAGGTTTTTCTTGAGGCAACTTGCTTTTTTTTTTTTTTTTACTCTGACTTCCTTGAAGATTCCTTTAACTCACATTTTTATCTTCAAGTTGGCATTTATTATAGAGGGGAACAATTTTTAGCCATCATGTGTAACTATAGAAACAGCCTAACGAAGCTAGATGTACTCTAATATAGACTACCATATTGTCTTAATTGTATTTACCAGTTCACTGGGAGAAAGTTTTGTAAGGGTTTGGTACCTGTGACCACTAAGAATGATGGGATGGCAGACCACAACCTAAAGTTGGTAAAAAATTGCAGGGGTTTTTATACAAATATGTCATGCATAACTGCAAATTTACATTTCATTCTTGATCCTCGTTTTTTATAAATAAACCCCTAGTCTTTAGGTAAAATTATTTATTTACCAAAAACCATCTGATATCTTGGAGCGTGTTTTTTTCAGGTCCTGCTAAATTATTTAAGCAAACATAATTATATCAAGAAATCAGCTTAGCAAAGCTCTTTTCCACTAATGCAGGAGGTGGCATTCCTTCACTGTTGCTTTGGGGTGCACATATTTGCAGATTCAAAGACTGTAATTTAATCCTAAATTATTAATAATGTTAAATAATTTAGTGTCAAAGCTTCATCCATGTATAGGAGCAAGAGCATAATACAGGAAACTGCAAGCATGTTGCCAATATCCTCCACTCACAATTTAATAAACATTTAGTGATGTAGCTTTACATAACACTCATTCATTTGAGAACAACTACTGGATTGTTTGCTAAATAAAAAACAATTCTCTGCATATTTGATCATTCTGAATATCTCTTTTGTTTCTTACAGGAGTTTGACAAGAAATACAACCCGACATGGCACTGCATTGTTGGGAGGAACTTTGGGAGCTATGTTACTCATGAGACCAAGCATTTCATTTACTTCTACCTGGGTCAGGTAGCCATTTTGCTGTTCAAGTCCGGTTAAGGGAAGGCTGCATTTCCGCAAACCCCCGTTGACCATTCAGTACTGACGGACTTCAAAAGGCACTTATCATTCCTTGGCGAGGGGCCGCTGCCTTTTTTTGTGCTGCATTCTACTTTGTTGTTTTTGACTATATAAACCGTGGCCATGTTAAAGAGATAAAACACTTGTATTTATTTTTGTCTTGTTACATTAGACATGTCAGTTTTTTAATTAAAGTGTAAATGTGAAACAGTCTGTGTTGAATGTGTGCTCTGTTCATTTCATTATGGTGGATCAACCATTTTCTGTACCAACTTGAACCTTGAAGGGCAGCAGGGGGCTGGTTCTGAGAGAGGGGGCAACCAATCAATCAAGTCTCATTGTATAGCACATTTCAACAAGGTAATTCAAAGCTTTGCGTTATGAAAACATCAAAACACATGCAGTCACCAGTAACAGACATTACATTTTATCAAATGCCATCATTAAAATCAATACACATCAGATTTTTTTGTTCAGTTTTCATTGATTATGTTTCAAAAGTAACTCTAAACAGGTGGGATATAGTCTTGATTTAAAGGAACTCAGTGTTTCAGCTGTTAATTTTCTGGAATTTGTTCCAGATTTATGGTGCATAGAAGCTGAATGCTGCTTCTCCTTGTTTGGTTCTGGGATGCAGAGCAGACCAGAACTAGAAGACCTGAGAGTCTGGAAGGTTGGTACAACAGCAGCAGATCTTCAGTGTAATTTGAGCTAAAGCCATTCAGTGATTTATAAACTAACAGTATTTTAAAGTCTATTCCCTGAGCTGCAGGGACTTTAGGACAGGGGTTGTGTGCTCCATCTTCCTGGTTTTAGTCGAAGCGCCAGCTGCAGCGATCTGGATCAGCTGCAGTTTGATATTTTTAGGCAGACCTGTTAGACACATTGTAACTCTTAGGTGCTGACAAAACCTTTGAAACATTAAAAATAGTTGAGCTTCATCCATCTTTATAAACCATTCCTCAGTTCCAGGAGGGTGAAAATCCACCCATGAAAACCTAAGTTCATTAGCCATCTTTGCCAACGTTCTTGAATTGCTCAAGCCCTGGAAAAAACTTGAGAACATCAAACTCAGAAATTTCTAAATTTTTCTAGAAAATTAAAGGGATTAATCTCATTCTCTCCCCCCAGCAAATTGTTGACTTTTCAAACTCAAATTTCCTTGTTTCTTCTAGAACATTTCTGAGATTAAATCTCAAAATTTGTTTTGGCATAAATGTACTCCCCTCCTCCCTTCTACCTACAATGGCCTTAATGCAGTCAGATTTTAACACCCAGATTCAGATCGTAACATTTTTGTTACAAAATAAATTATTTTGTTAGTCTTGTGTAATAGTCAGACTGTCAGCAAGAGAGCAACATTTTAGTTGGAAAGCAGATTAAACTTAAGCATGTTTGAAATACTCTTTCCAACTAAATTACTGAACAATTAAAGTAGGGATGGACAATATGGCGTTCATATTAGTCGATATTTGATTATTGATTTGTTTTAAATGTATTAAATTCTACTAAACTGGTGATATAACCTTTCCAGTTTTCACTAACTTTTTTTAAGCAGTTATGCGGCAAAACTTCAAACTGTTGCTGTGCCAGTGACTCAGGTTGTTGCTAGGTAACCACAAGTTATTCAAGAAGTTGTTGCTAGGTAACCAAAGTCAGTTGATTCCACCAGCTGTGAGAGTTTAAGCAGCTTAAGCCTTTCCTCTGCCTACATTCCCCAGAATGCTGTATGGTTACGGAACATTCTATCAAACATATTGATCACATTATCTATCGCAACATTAATCATCGATTCATTTCCCAGTCTTAGTTGAAATTTTTAGCCTTAAATTCATGAACATTTTAAATTGGGTTCACGTCTCCAAAGACTTTCCTATCCAGAAAATGAGCAGAAACCATTAAAACTCCATGATACAAATGGAAGCAGCGGTAAAATAACGAGTCGGTCAGTAGACGGTAACTTTTTATTACATATTTAGAAAACCAGCTTGTGAGGGAAAACGCCATTAGTCAGGGCGAAGGTGGAGCGCAGGTATCCTTTCAGCTGAGGCTCCTTCTTGATGAGGGGCAGCAGCTGAGCATCAACCGCCTTCTGGTCCTCCTTCCTCTGCTCCGTCAGCTGGTACTTCTGCAGATTACACATCAGGTTAACGAGGACACTCGGAACACTACGGCGCTACGGAAGCAGTTAGAGTCCAATTTACCTCCTTCTCTGTATCGAAGATCTCCCCCTCCTGGTGACGGGGTTTCCTCAGCCTCTTCTTCTTGAAGTAAGTGTCGTTGAGGGTTTTGGGGATCTTCATCCCAGAGATGTCGATCTTGGTGGTGGTGGCGATGACGAATTTCTGGTGAGCCCTTCGCAGGGGGACTCTGTTCAAGGCAAGAGGGCCTGAAAAAAGACGAAAAACGTTGGGATAAAACAAGGTTTGTACGCTTTTCTCACGGTAAAAACTCAAGCAGTTTTTAAACCAAGGTTGAAGGGCGTTTATAGATAAATACATCCTTTGAGGAAATGCACTAACTCATTCAAAATTTCCCCCGTTCATAAACGTACAAAGCTCATACACTTTTACAACTGCAAAATTTGAGAATTTATCAACCATTTTTCAGGATTAGTTTTTAAACTTTTAAAGCACCAAACTTCAGAGATAAAAAAAAAGAATACAAGCTAATAAATGCAGTTTCAATTTAAATTACAGGATCTGTTTTATTACTGTAATTAATGTCTTGTATTCTACAGCAGGAGCAAAATGTCTCACACACCTAATACATGAAAGATAAGTCAATTTAATTCAACTACTTTCCTGAGTCATTGAGTAATTAGGAATAATAAATATTAATTACACTGAAACAAATTCAAATTATGTTTTTATTCTTTCAATAAAAACTAATTTTAAATGCTAAATTTTATTAAACACTAATTAAATTAGGCATTTAATTTGACTTTCCTACTCAAATTAAATGCTTAAATAGAAAATTTAAAAAAATCTCAAATGTTTTTACTAAGTTTTCTGGCATTTAGCAAATAGAAATAATTTTGGTGATTTTAACTGACATAAAACAAGAAAAGTTTAGTCTTATTTAAATTTAGACAGTGAGAAAATAAAAATGTCTATTGTTTTTGGTGCATAAAAGTAAATGTTTCAACTGTAAATAACATTTTTCAAATTTAGGCTTTTAATCAAAAGTTTGATTGCATTTTATTACAAAACTGCAGTTTGTACGGAAATCAAGCATTTTCCAGACCTTGAAAACATCTAAATGATATTCAAGGATTTCAAACACTCTTGCAAACCCTGGCAAATAAAAGAAAACAAGATTTTCCAGCTGGGTAATAACTGCTTATGCAATCTGCAGCCTTACCGGTGACAAGCAGGAGACCACTGGAGAGCTGCTTCAGGAACACCACGCGCTGAAAAACAATCATTTCAGTATTAATCTTAAGCGCTGAAGGCACTCTGCTCCAGAACAACACACCGCGTGCTACAAATATTTCTCCCAGGACGTCCAATCTGTTTATCTGAAGTGCTGCAGGCAGAAAACTAACATGACATCTGGATGGCTGCAGAGCTTCACAGTACAGGACTAAAACATTTGATGCACCCAAAATGTTTTTTTGTTTTTAGGTCAGCTGCCTTCTCAAAGTGTGTGTGGGTACGCTCGCTGCCATAACTTAGCCATACAGCAGGTGAGTGGGAGAGAATCCTGTGTGTTTCACTGAGGGTGTGAGATTAGAGTTCGATCAAATGTGCAACTAAACCCCCAAAATGTTCTAGAGTAAAAACATTTGATGCACTTCAGATGCGTTTCTGTTTTTAGTGCTCTCACTGTTTAACTGATCTACGCAAAACGTAACACACAGAATGTTTGTGCAACGTTAATGGCAAAGCTAATATTTCAGTTAAGACTAGTTTCTAATAACGCTTCATAAGGCTGGGCGATAAATTAATTAATCAAATTTTTAGTTTTTGAAGATTTAACTTTTGGTTTCCATAGTTCAGACTGATGTCAGCAGGGCCGCCACGCTGGACAGTTTATTTGGACTTTGAATTCAGGTCAACTCTACAACAAAATATAAGGGTCAGACAAAGATTTTTTTTAAAGCAAGAATGAAGTCAATTTTACAAGAATATGATAGTAGTAATCTAAAAGTAAAATAATATGACAATAAAGTCAAAATAATACAGGAATGAAATACTAATTTTGAGAACACCAACATGAAAAACAAAACAAAAAATTAATTATCTAAACCTTTTCTCATTAAAACTTTCTTGTAACTTTAAGACATTCTTGAGGCAAATTTTATTCTTTGGTCTTCTAATATTAAGACTACATTCTCGAAAATAAACAATTCTTATCGTAAACTATTATACTATTTGTGTATTTTCTTTTTTTTTTTTAAAGAAAGGGAGAAAAACTAGAAAACTGATTAAAATTGGAAACCAGATTTGTCCGGGGGGGACAACATTTTATTTTTAATCCATATCGCCCAGCCCTGTTTACGTAAATTTTCATTCAATTACATCAGAAAAAATTTTTAATTTTCCCACTTTTATTCTCAAATGCAAGCATGAAAAAACATAAAAATCAAAGATAATGATTAAGGATTTGTTTTTAGAAGTTGCACCTAAAAAGCTACAATAATCAATAATCTTCTATACACATGAAACAAAATAGCCTCTTTTTTATGTGGATCTCACAAAAACACAGATTGTTTTTTGTTATTATCCTTTTGATGATGACCTATATTTGACCTTTGTAAGTCAATTTATCCAGTCTTTTATTGTGTCGGTATTTTCTTTACAACAAATATCCATTTCCTGATCTGTAATCGTTCAAACAAGTGATTACCTTTCCGCGGTGGCGCCCGGTCAGCAGGATGAGGACGGTTCCAGGTGTGATGGAGGCGCGCAGCTTCCTCTTGTGCTGGCTGAAGGGTTTCTTCCCATGGCTCCTCAGTTTACGGGGAACGTCCTCTGTGGGATAGTAGCGGGGCTGCAGGAGGAAAAGATATCGATGTTACAGACTAGAATACCAGCAAACGTCTTCATAATGAAATAGAAACTTGAAAAGGCAAAAACGGTTAAATCCAGTAGGTTTAGAAGTTTAGTTTAGAAGGCCAATTTTGTTGTTCAAAATTATTACCAAACTCACAGTAAATATTGAAATTAAAGTAGTACTTCTGGGACTTTTACTCTTCTTATGTAGCACAGAGTTTTAAGCTACTAGCAGATTGTCTTAATTGAAGTCGAATAAATATTCTAACTCCCTAACCAGCCAGTGTTCCTCTAATTCAGAGGTTTCCAAACTTTAAAATAATGTGAATCTTAAAAAATGTCACATTCTGTTGAAAAGCGTCACAACAGCAAATCAAGTCCAATCAACAGCTGATTTATTTACCAAAATGTTGCTTCTATTTAAGTACTGCTTTTATTACCTTTTTCACCATTTATACAATGCATATACTTTCTTATTGTTATTTTTAGTATATAGGTTATTTTATCAGGAGGAACTCGTGACCAGATACTCATTTATTTGGGGACTACTGCTCCAATGCAAAAAGTTACAACACAGTAAAATAGTCTGGTTGTAAGAATTTAATACTCTGGAGTAAATCTGTTCATCCTACAGATTCCTTTCTAAGATTATTAAAGAAAAACCAAAAGGAAACGCTGGTGTTCTGTCTTGAATTAAAGAAATTAGATTCTATTTACGTCTGAAAGTATTTGTGTAAATGTAAAATTTTTGTCCAACAGCTTATAAACTTGAAAACATTTCCCCCATCACTCACCATCTTGCGCAGCTTTACAACACGGGTGCCTCCATTCTTGTCTCCTCCGACAGTCTTCACAACTGTGGCCTTGGGTTTTTCTTTGATCTTTTTCTCAATCTAAAACAAAAGTAAGTTGGGATTAAACTGCGACGTCTCATCATGTGCATTCAGACTGTTTTTATACTGACCGGTCCTCACCTTGGTCTCAGTGGTCTTGGACTTCCTCTTGTACATTGCCCGGCGGGCGTACATAGCAGAACGGGAATAGCGGCCGATTCCCCGGGCCAGAACCGGGTTCCGGCTCCCGTGCTTCTTCTTGGCAGACTTCTTCTTGTCTCCTTCTGCCATCTGATACAAATATCAGACAGGGAAGTGTTTATTCAAATCAACTTCTTAGCAGGCACATTTAAACAGCTGACCAAATCTTATGCATTAAATTCTGTTAAAACAGATGAATTGGTATTACAGCACTGTTTAAGCCATAACATCAGTAGCTAAACTAGCTTAGAGCTTTCAAACCTTAGTTCAACGAGAGCTAAATAGCACCAACCATTAAAACGTAAACCTAAAATCTAACTGCATCTGAACCAGTAACACAATGAGCAGCACAAACAAAAACAATACATTTATAGTGTTTTCATGGACGGAGGCAACACCAATGCAAACCAGCGGCATGACATGTAGCATGACTACACGTTAGCAGCACAGTAGCAAAGCTACCTTGTTAGCTGCTTATTTACATGTGAATTTAAGGCTGTTGACTAAAGCAAACCAACATAACATCTTGTTATGAAGTTGTTACGAAATCTATCGGAAAATGGACGGAGACGCATTTTTAAGCAAGCGGCTCGGCTAGTTTTGTAGACTTCATTCAGGCTAGCCGGCGGCCTAGCAGCGTCGTTGAACTAAAACATTCCTAAATACAGCGACATGATGGACAAATCGAGGAAATAACGCTGTCGATCGTGTCAACTAAGTATACTGTTACAGCGGATGACATTAGGGGTTGCAGTTTTTATTCTGTAACACAGATGAAAACAGATTTTTATTCCCACAGTTACACGAAGGCAAGGTTGTCTTACCTTAGCTATGAAAAAAAGACCGACATCCGGGGATGTTACGTTTATAAGGACGCTGTCTCATTACGTTGACGTCGCTACGTCGTGCTTCGTTGATATGATGGTCTTTGTAGTCCAAATAGGGAATTTTTTACGGTTGTTTTTTGTGTTAATTTTTTAAGTAAACCCTTAAAACACAAAACATTGTGAATCATTTTATTATTTATTTACTTTCTTTTGAGAACATGGAGATAATTTATATTCAATTTAATTCAAACATTAAATAGTTAATATGCTACAAATGTGTTTGTGCTTAGTGCACCCAAATAGCTAGCACGGGACGGCAGCTTGTCAACATTTTTGGCAAAATTAATCTCATGGTTTTCTTGATCAATGTATTAACCGATAAAGCTAAATTAAAATTTCAAATGCACATTTTTGAGAATAAAAACAGGGGTGAAAGTAGGCGGGTACGCTCGGGTACTGTGTACCCCTAAAAGATTTAGCGGGGCTACGCGGTACCTTGCAAGAGGGGAGCGGCTGTCTGCTGTAAAAAATAAAAAATAAAAAATCAATGGGTGGTTACTGTGCAGCCGTGAGTGCGTCCACTAATCAGCCGTGACTGATTAGTTTTTCAAGAACAATCTAGAACACACTTAATTAGTTAAAAAATAACTTTTTTCCCATTTCATGCTTTAGAATGGTTTATAAATTAAGAACTTATTTATAACTGGTTTATGTACTATTTACCACTCTTAAGGGAAGTTTTACTTGAGTTTCCTTGACACGTCACATTTTGCACGATTGTTTTCTTTTTCAAGAGTATTGTGCCTTTGTAATTTTCTTCTCTTTATTATTTTTATCTATACTTGTCCTGGCTAATTCTCTGCAGTTATGTATGCACTTATATGTGCTGTTGTTATTCACCGATACAAAGATTATGGGGGAAAAAAAATCTGGTCTTCATTTTAGTTTGTTTAGTGCACAAAATAGAGCAAAAGAAGAGTTCTGGTTCTGTTTTAGGCCAGTAACTTTATTCAGGGTGCAATAATCCTATTTAGAAATTTACTAAAGCAGAACATGTTTAAAACATATAATGTGAAGATTTATATTTTAATATCGGAGTAAGACTTAGAGAAACTCCTGCTAGTTTATAAATTGTGAAGTACATAGCGAACCAACACTCTGGGTTTTTTTTTGTCTTGTCGCCCTTATCTTTTTTGTCTTTTTGTTTTTGTTGTTTTATTTGTATTTTCTTCTAATTCATGTAAAACACTTTGAACTGCCATTTTGCTGAAAATGTGCTATATAAATAAAATTACTTCTACTTTTACCTACCTCATTGCTGTTAAACTAGTCACAGGGGAATCCAAATAATTTAGATTAAGAAATAAAACTGTATCCTTTTCTCCATCAATATTTTAAATGCACATTTACAACAAACGAGAAAGAAAAATAAGTGATAGTAAAATGTACAAAACAGCTGTTTTTTTCTGGACAATTTTATTTGGGATTCTTTGACAGAGAAGTACAAAAATTTAGTCACCTCAGCTGATAAAACACCAAACACAGAAATGGAAATTATGGAGGGCATTTAAAGGCAAACTCTTTATTGCAATACCAAGCTACACATGTTAGCATGGCTAAGGATCAAATCCCTGTCTTTAGGCACAAATGGGCTCCTAAACCTATAGAAGCAGTTTACAGTCATTTGTTTACTTTCACAGATCTCTTAAGGCAAACTCAAACATATGCTGCAAAAATCAATTTTCAGAAAATGAGAAAAAAGTTAAATTAGCTGTTGTTTTTCATCATTAAACATGCCTTTGACTGTGCACCAACTACATTTGATCTCATGCGAGTGGAGAGTGTTTCTGTTTGTCATTAATTTCACAGGAATCCTTTAGCACCTTCTTCGTCTGTTAGCACTTTTCCAGGACGATGGCGATGCCCTGACCGCCGCCGATACAAGCAGAGCCCACGGCGTACTTTCCTCCTCTTCGCCTGTTCGAAACAAAGCTTGTTGTGAGAAATACTCTTGTCTTTTTTTAAGGCTACAGGTAATGATTTGTCTACCTGAGCTCGTGCACCAGGTGAGCAGTGATGCGCGCTCCAGAGGCACCGAGAGGATGACCGATGGCGATAGCCCCGCCGTTGACATTCGATTTTTCTGGGTCAAGCCCAAGAGCCTTGGCAACGGAAAGATACTGAGGAGCAAAAGCTTCGTTCACCTGAACGGAGGAACAGAAACAAACAAGAAGTTCATCAAAGCAGCAACGGCAGAATTACTCTTTAAACTTCTTCTTGTAGAAGCAGCACCATTTATTCACACTTAGTAAACGTGTAAAATAAAACAAAATAAATACATGAACCATTCATTGGAGTGGCATAATTTCACACTAAACAAATTGGAAAAAAAATAAATAATGGTAACTAGTTACTACCCTCCTGTATACATCATAGAGAAATGTTGAATAACGGAGAAACATCCAATAATTTGATTTTACAGCATTTATCTAAAACCACATAACACTGATGAAGAAAACAATCAGGTCATTTCAGATGTTTATTTACATCCTAAATACTCTAAGTAGTCACTTAAAGTTAAAGGATAAAGTCAAAATGGCGTCTTTATTCTTTGTGACAAACCTCAACAAGGTCCATGTCCTTGACAGACAGGCCGGCCTTTTTAAGAGCTTCTGTTATGGCCGGGACCGGACCTAAAGTGAAACCACATAATTCTGTTCAAAAACTGGAATCGATTCACCAATTATTTTTATTAATGTAAGCTGATTTAAATCATATCCCTACTATCCCTCACCAATCCCCATAATGCTCGGGTCACAGCCGGACACGTGATAGGACACGATTCTGGCCAGAGGAGTGAGTTTGTGTTCCTTCAGGGCTTCCTCACTGGAGATCACCAGAGCAGCAGCTCCATCAGAGACTCCCTGCAGACCAACAAGAGACTCGGCTCAGAGGCGACCTGCTTAATTGAACGGGTTAGGATAGGTCTGTGGGCGATGCAAGACATGTTTGGTACTTTTTTATTTTGCACAAAGTCATTCTGAGATCCTGAGATCTTAGTTTGCTCAGAATTAGATATTTTAGAGATTCTTAAAATCTGAATAAGCTGCTGCTGGCCAAACCCCCAACTCAACATTTACACTCACACTGGAAAATGGCTGCAAACGGATATGCAATTATATCCGTTTGCAGCTATCCGTTTCTTTGAAAAGCACAACCAACAATAATGCAGCAAATGGTTTCTGGATGATAAGTCCAGAAACCATTTTTCCAGCTGTCATTGTACAGTGAATACAGTGGTAAAACTAGCTGACCAAACGTCCTGGAGCTCAGTTTGGGTTGATAGGTGACGGGCTGCGCTTCACTGGGGTTGCTAGGTAACAGCGCAGTATCTAGTGAATGTCAGGAGGCTTTTGAAATTGCTAATTTTCCAGACACCAAAAAAACATTTAACTTATTTGCCAAAAAACAGCTGTGTGTTTTTTTAAGCACTCTGTCTGTTTATAGAAGCAGTTGAAACCCAAATAAAAGTATAAAAACATGCAAAATGTGAATTTTGCAAAATAGGTCCCCTTTAAAACAGACGTTTGTTGTTGTGGGTCTGACAGTTATGTGATGATGTTGCTGGATTATGGTGGTTTTCTATATTTTATTGAATATTTCTTATCTCAATCCTTAACTGTTTGGAAGTTTTCTCTTCTTATCTTGACCAGTCAATTTTTGAATAAAGTCAAAGTAAAGTAAAGCCTCACCGGCTGAAGGTGTTAGACAAGTCAACAGCAAAGCTTAACAAGACTTATTTAAATAAAAACACAAAACCAAGTAGGCCTTCTCAGTCTATATGTTAAATAAAATAGAGTGTCTCACTGAAGCGTTGGCGGCAGTGACGGTTCCTCCCTTCTTGAAGACAGTAGGCAGCTTGGCCATCTGCTCCAGCGTGGTCTGAGGCCGAGGGTGTTCATCATGAGTCATGGGCACTTTGCCCTTCTTCGCCTTCACCTCAACCGGAGCAATTTCAGCTGTGAAGTGACCCCCTTCATGAGCTGCAGGAGGAGAATTTACAGGTTAAATATTTAAAATATGCCCAACGTAAGACGTCCCCATAGCTGGAAAAATACAGAAAAATAAATACAGCCCTATAAGGAAGGATGACATCTGCCTGCTCACCTGCCTTCCACCTCTGTTGTGTCTGGTACGCGTAGTTGTCACAGTCCTCTCGTGTTATCTGGTATTTCTCTGCCAGGTTTTCTGCAGTGATGCCCATCGGGGTCTTGATGTGGAGGTCAGTGAGACCCGCCCACAGAGTGTCTTCCAGCTGCCGGCAGGGGAGCACAGAGCAGTGAACGGACTGTTTCTGCACATCAAAACAGCTGCTGATGCTTTTATCAAGTTTATCTGCAAAGCTTTGAAAAAGATCTCAAAACAAATCAACATTTTATAGTAATGAGGCTGCACAAATATTTGAGAACTATTCCAATCTTTAAATCAAATTATCCAGTGGAGAAAAAAAACAACGGTTAGGAAATGGATGAATAACAAAATCACCAGAGGATCAATTATTAGAGCGGCCCCAATAAATAAATAGAAATCAAGCTTTTTTAATGTATTCTGCACTTATCTTCTATCATAAAGGTTTTAGGAACTTCACAATAATGTGAGACTTTTTTAAAAATTATCGCATAAAGTTGAGGCTGATTTCTACAGAAAACACAAACTCTTACCAATTATTTTTGTTTTAGTTTCTAGTGCAATAGGACAAAACTAAACTTACAAGGTTTGTAATGTACGCATGAAAAAAAACAATAACCTTGAGGTCAAACCCAAACTTTGTTCCGAAGCGGATGTTACGGACGGCGTACGGAGCTTGGCTCATACTCTCCGAACCGCCGCACAGAACCACCTCCGACTCCCTGAGACAAATCTCCTGCAAACACACAAAATTACAAAAAATATTTTATTATGAAGCTACAAACAGAAGTCCAAGAATCTTTGGGTTAAACGTGTGGGAAATTTTTAAATTCTAAGAGTAAAAGATGTTTGTAGAGACAAACCCTCTGCCTTTTAAACAAACACACAGCCTTTGAGGAAATGCGTTAA